GCCAAACTTTTATTATTTTTGAAATATTGTTCAATAATGAACACACGTTGTTCTATCGTGTAACGCTCCATTTTCACTAACCCTAAACTGTCAGCTGTTAAATTGTTTTTTTTTTGGGTTGCCAACACTTTACTGCACAAATGGCGGCAAATTCAAATCTTGCGTTAATTTTGGGACACCCTTTACATATGTTATTCAATACGGAGGCTTGATGTAAACAAGTCAATGGATTAGGTATTGAGTGCGCTCCCTCGTGGGTTGCTACCTTATCGTGGTGAGGGAGCTCCCCCTGGGTCGCTTTGCGGCTCAGAGAGTCTAAGAGCATCCTGTACGGACTCCTCCGTTAAATAGGAGGAGTCCGTACATCAGATCCGGCACCCCAAGGAGGTCTCTCTCTCTTCGGAGAGGGACTCCTGGGGGTCCCATTCCTATTGGAATGGTCTCCAATGTACCGGTAGGGGTTGGCGGCCCTGACTTCATTCGCCCGGTGGCACGGCATCGTCAGGGGGAGTATTGCTCCTAGCCCGTGACTCGGGGGGAAGATGGGCGTGTCGCCGCGGTGCGGTGCACGCTCAGAGGTGGGGCGGTTCGCCGCCCCGGGGAAAAGTGCCGAGCCCCGCCCGGCTCGGCTGGACGGCGTTCTTGGAATGTGGGGTGAAGGAGAGCCGCGTGGAGATACTCCACGCTGAGACCCCCGCCCCCGTCCCGAGTAGACGGGTCACGGAGCCGCTCAGAAATACTCTGAGGCGGGGTTTGTGGCCTGGGCCGCGTCCAAGCCACTCCGACATATTCGGAGGTCGGGTGCGGCGGTGGTTATGGGTAGTCCAGCGACGGCGTCCCTCTTAAAGTGAGGGCGCTAGGCGGTGTCTTGGCCCATTCGCGGGGAGTGATCTCTCCGCGGGTGGGAGTGCTGGTCGCCACGACGGCTAGGGTCCGGAGGGGGCGCCGTCTCCGTGATCTGAACTGTCCGTGAGACCCCTTTCCCTCAATGTGTGGCGCCACTCGCAACGGTGCCTTTGAGGTCGGAGGCGAGGGACTCCCGAAAGCTGGGAGCTTGGCGCTTGCACCCTGCCTCGTCCGGTGAGTAAGGAGCTTAGAGGCCCTGCACCCGATGGGCCATTCCGGGAGCCAATGCCATATGCCAGTCCCTCAGAAGAACTCGAGACCTCATCCAGGTCATGTCTCTGAGCGGGGAGGGTACACCCGGCTGGCGGAGCCATTGCGAGTACCGGGGGAAAAATTAGTAATGAAACAATTAAACAATACAACAAACAGTGTGAATGGGGTCGCTGCTTTTACTCAGTGATCGTCGGGGGAAGAATGGCGAGGGTGTGGAGAAATTCGCCCAGCTATCCTGTTGAGAGGAACGCGGCTTCCGCGAGGTGCCGGGCGTGGCTACGTGGACTGCATGGGGCGGACTCGTGATCTCCTCTGTCGAATAAGCCGGAGGGTATGCGATCCATCGTGTTACACCGTACCGAGACATACGCGGAAGTATTAAGACTGAAGGGAGGTGTCGGATCGCCGACATCATCTGGCAAAACATCGCCAGTGCCTGATACGTCGCGGGAACTAACTTTTGCTCGGTGGCCGGAGGCCTGGGCCCCTATCATCTAAATTTTGGAAGAGACAGGCCGATGATGGAGGGAGCGAGAGAGGCTCGACGTCGAGCTTGGCATCGACGTCACTGCCTCTTGCGCCGGAGAAACGTTCCCTTGATAGTTCCGATAGGGACTCGGACCGGCCACCCGTGAAGGAGGCATCGCGCGATCCGATTCGTAGGAATGTGAGACGCTTCCTTCCGGGGACGAGACCTCGAGTGCGTGGGGGTGGGGGGGCGCAAAGAGTGCGCTCTTCCCCGACCCCGGGACGCGGAGGCGACCGGGCAAGCCGGTATTGAATCCAGAACACGTTAATCAATTCACCAGCGAAAAGAGGGAACAGAGAGAGAGAAGATGAGGGCGGCCGAAAGGCTCCGGAGGGACGTGTTCATAATTGACTTTTCGAGGCCTCTCGGGTCCAAAAGAAACGCTCGTCGCATTAAAGAGACTGAGGTCCTAACAGTGGACTATAGTCACCAATCTGTGGTGTCGGTAGCAGCCGTGGCGGTGGACTCGCTCGAGCTCCTGGTTAAGGGACTCGAGCGATCCAAAAATATAAAAGGCGACATTGAGAACAGCCTCAGGAAAGGACTCACAGAGCTACCATCGCGGAACTCGCGATGGGGGTGGACGATCCCCGCGATGTTTCGGACACAGTGACGATGGCGAGAGAGCTCCGTGATCTCAGGAAGGAGATCACAGGACTCTCTCGCGAGAGGGACGAGTTGCGGAAAGAAGGAGCTACGCGGGAGTCACTCCCGGAACCGCGGGGCGGTGGGACGGTCGATCGATCGACCGATTCTGCCTGGCTCGGGGGAGGCAGAGTTTCCTCTTTCTCAGCGGAAGACGCGGAGCAACGCGAAAGAGGATGAGACTGCGTCTCCTCTAGACCCCCTCCAGATTGGGA